TTTACACATCATGTGAGTTAACACAGCATTGTGAGTTAACACAGCACTGTGAGTTAACACAGCACTGTGAGTTTACACAACACTGTGAGTGCACACAACACTGAGTTTCCTCAGCACTGTGAGTTAACACATCACTGTGAGTTAGCACAGCACTGTGAGTTAACACAGCACTGTGAGTAAACACAGCAGTGTGAGTTAACACAGCAGTGTGAGTTAACACAGCACTGTGAGTTAACACAGCACTGTGAGTTAACACAGCACTGTGAGTTAACACAGCACTGTGAGTTAACACAGCATTACAGTGTGAGTTAACACAGCATTACAGTGTGAGTTAACACAGCATTACAGTGTGAGTTAACACAGCATTACAGTGTGAGTTAACACAGCATTACAGTGTGAGTTAATACAGCATTACAGTGTGAGTTAACACAGCATTACAGTGTAAGTTAACACAGCACTGTGAGTTAACACAGCATTACAGTGTGAGTTAACACAGCATTACAGTGTGAGTTAACACAGCATTACAGTGTGAGTTAACACAGCATTACAGTGTGAGTTAACACAGCATTACAGTGTAAGTTAACACAGCACTGTGAGTTAACACAGCATTACAGTGTGAGTTAACACAGCATTACAGTGTGAGTTAACACAGCATTACAGTGTGAGTTAACACAGCATTACAGTGTGAGTTAACACAGCACTGTGAGTTAATACAACCTTGTGAGTTAACACAGCATTGTGAGTTAATTAACACAACATTGTGAGTCAATTAACACAACATTTTGATCTAGTTATCACAGGTATATCGTACTAAATTATTCAGACGTTTTTTAATGAAATACTCTGTTAAAAGCGAGATTTAAACTCAAGATCATCTAATCAAATCGCCTCAAGAAATAATAACCTCAGAGTATACCAGTTCAATCAGTTATTTTCATTTTCAATGGTCGGCAATTGACCTCTTGTTTTCTAAGCTTGTACTTTTGAGTGGCACTTCATGATTTATACAATGAAATTATTAATCAGTGAAACACATATCAGTGAATTATCATAGAATACAAATAACTACATTAATAACTCTATATTATTTAAATGTAAGCTATATGCGGCTATTAATGTAATATCACAGTCAATATAATAAACAGAATACGGCATTCCATCTGAGCAATCACGATCACAGTCTCAGTCATCTCTGCATCAAAAGTGATGCTTATGTACTCTGACACATGCAGAGCAATTCAGTAACCTCTGACCCTGACAGCAGAAAACAATCCCACAATGTCATTTTCACAGATATTTTCAAACCACAATCAGATAAATGAGTAATTAGTGAACTGAAAACAGGACGCGATCCCCCCGAAGGCTATCAGATGTGATATACGATATACGCCATGGAGGCTACGTTATTAGACGTAGATTTTTAGGTTTTAGGCTAAAACTAACATGCATTATCTTCAAATCACTCAGGGGCTTTTACGATATATCAGTTCTGAACACCTGCACTGTAGAGAATGTGGTCGTTATTAAAGCCAATAAATAACCTTCATACACACACGTTTGCAAAATATTTAAAATGACGAATCCAACTAGTGCAAGTAGCATTTTAAATGTCTGATAAGGGTAAATCATCCATTTAGATTTTG